ACTTAGCGAGCGCGAGGTCCTGTTCGTTCTCTCCTCGACGAACCGAAGGCGAAACTCGGAGAGGAACTGGCTCCACCAAGGGAAGGGGAAGGGGTTTTTGCTCCCATGACGCTCTGCCCATTGCTGAGCAGGTCCCTCCGCCATATAGGACATGGCGTAGTGGACGGCCTTTTCTTCGCTCGGCTCTCCGTTAACTACGAAGGCCTCCGGGGCAAGCCGAGCGTAGGTTTTGACCGCATATAGAAAGCGCGGCCGCGTTTGCGATCTCCGTTAAACGCAAACGGGGGGTTTGGTCGTAAGACCAGTTTTGAGGCGACAGTAATGTCACCAAATAACGCATCCGTCGGGGGCATTCGGAGATGCCGGCGGTTCGGGAGCTGCCGGAGGTGGTGCGGCAGCGGGAGCCTGGGAAGCAAGGTGGGTGAGGATATTGGTGAGGTTGTCTAGTTTCGCCTCAAGTGCGTCCATGCGCTGATGAGTGCGGAGTGGGGACAAAGCAAATGAGCCTCTAACTAACCAAACCAACAAAAACAACCAAAACTCCACTTGAGATAGAGAGAAAGTTGTATAATGTCGAGTAGGAAAAGTCACAAAACCCAAAATATCGTCGACTCCTTGTGCGAGAACAGACCCCTGTGAACAGAGCCTTGGCACAAATGTGTAAGGTTGTAGGGTTGATACGAGTTTCTTGCGAAAAACGTTGATTTGTTGTGCCCCAAAGTGTACTATCGACGAAACTCAGCAATAGAGAAGCGCCAATACGATGCCCGGAGAGTTTATACTCGTTGGATCAGGACTAACTGCCTTAAACCCTCTGAGTTGTCTCGAGTCAGGAACTAACTGCCTTAAACTCTCGACCAGCAACCGAAACCCAATAAACAGCAACCGGAACTCTTGTATTCAGCAACCGAAACCCTCAACCAATAATCCTCCCGACGCGATAATACTATTTCGAAAGAGCTAGCAAGATAGATTTGACAAGCTAGATCCCCAGATGCACCTAGTAAAGCGGGGCAATCCGTGAACCTGCCAAATACAAAACAGAGATATAAATACTAAACAGAAATTGATAGAATCAAGAAAAATCATGAGTAAGAAAAGTAGTCCATGCGCATAATTGTATAGGTATCATTTCGCCATACGGCCCAGAGTCGAAAATCCAGGTCCAGATGACTGGTATCGCGTGTATTGGAGTCAATGACCTGTGTAAATCTTCCGTGTTCGCGACCATCTAGTTTTGCTTGTGAAGAATCCCTCGATCTTGAGTAGGATAAGTGGATAGCTCTGCTTCCCAGCTTTCGATTGACACCCATAACTCGTATCTTGTGCGTATGGCCTCAGCGGTAGTTGTCCCAACTCTCCTGGCGCATTTCCAATGTTCAGATGATCAGTTCCTCGACAGTGTTTTAGAGTCGCCGTTGATCACAGGTCCAGGCCCCAATCAATTGAGTAGGTTTTCGCCGTTTAACCGTCCCTTGGCACTCCCGATCCTCCAGCATGATCCGAAACCACGTTCCAATGATGTCAGTCGTCGATACCAACAGAGATAGGGGTGTCCCTTATCTAGGAGAAGTCGATCTCGAGTCTCCACTGAGCGCCAAACCGAATATGCCTTTTAGAATACACTCCCTTTGGGTATTTTGCATAGAATTGGATAGATTCTAGCGAGGAACGGGCTCTGCGAACTTTTCCTAGTCAAGATTTTGGAATCACTATGAGCGATTTGATAGAATTTGACTGGATTTCGATAGGTTCTTGTGCAGGTAACTCCCTAGTTGACCATTCGGGACTCATGTCAACTCTGAGACGTGCGCTGAGCAACAAAATCGACAAAAATAGTCGTTTCCTGGTCTGTCCCAGACTGCGGCTTATCAGCGCGCGTCAGCGTCCGGAGCAGCTCCGGTAGACATAGCGGGCGTAAAGACGACAAGAGCAGAGGAGGAGGGGTCAAGTGGCAGGGGCGGTGACGAGGGGGGTACGGACTCGTACTCGAGCCTGAGTCAGCACCAAACCTGGCAATCTTGACCGGTTAATCCCGTAGAGAGTTTCTTCTGCTATAAGGGCAACCCTGGAGACTCCGACGAAAGCCTAGCAGGGGAGGATCCAAAGCGTGAATAAGACTACAGGAAATACACGGAGGGACCGACCTAGCAGGGGAGGATCCAAAGAGAAGAAACTCTAAGGGTCCGCCTGCTAGGGCGCCAACTATATACTGGTCGTCCGTAACTGCCGACGTAGAGCGCAGAAGGCCTGAGCGGCGTCGCAGGCTCTGTCCCAAGGTGATCGTTGGGAGGGTCTTGACGGATCGGTGATTGTGCGGGCGAAGGAGGCCGTGGACGATGGTCGGGGTGGGGTCGGAGCGTCCGAGGGGGCGCCGGTCGGATGCGCCTCGGATGCATTCGGAGGGTCCGAAGGAGGCCGAAGCGGGGGTTCCCCTGACAGTATTCAGCAACCGAAACCCTCAACCAATAATCCTTCCGACGCGATGATACTATTTCAAAAGAGCTAGCAAGATAGATTGACGAGCTAGATCCCCAGATGCACCTAGTAAAGCGGGGCAATCCGTGAACCTGCCAAATACAAAACAGAGATATAAATACTAAACAGAAATTGATAGAATCAAGAAAAATCATGAGTAAGAAAAGTAGTCCATGCGCATAATTGTATAGGTATCATTTCGCCATACGGCCCAGAGTCGAAAATCCAGGTCCAGATGACTGGTATCGCGTGTATTGGTGTCAATGACCTGTGTAAATCTTCCGTGTTCGCGACCATCTAGTTTTGCTTGTGAAGTATCCCCCGATCTTGAGTAGGAAAAGTTGATAGCTCTGCTTCCTAGCTTTCGATTAACACTCATAACTCGTATCTTGTGCGTATGGCCTCAGCGGTGGTTGTCCCAACTCTCCTGGCGCATTTCCAATGTTTAGATGATCAGTTCCTCGACAGTGTTTTAGAGTCGCCGTTGATCACAGGTCCAGGCCCCAATCAATTGAGTAGGTTTTTGCTGTTTAACCGTCCCTTGGCACTCTGGATCCTCCAGCATGATCCGAAACCACGTTCCAATGATGTCAGTTGTCGATACCAACAGAGATAGGGGTGTTCCTTATCTAGGAGAAGTTGACTTCGAGTCTCCACTGCGCGCCAAACCAAATATGCCTTTTGATGTACACTCCCTTTGGGTATTTTGCATAGAATTGGATAGATTCTAGCAGGAAACGGGCTCTGCGAACTTTTCCTAGTCAAGATTTTGGAATCACTGAGAGCGATTTGATAGATTTTGACTGGTTCTTTGACAGATAACTCCCTAGTTGACCATTCGGGACTCATGTCAACTCTGAGACGTGCGCTGAGCAACAAAATCGACAAAAATAGTCGTTTCCTGGTCTGTCCCAGACTGCGGCTTATCAACGCTATCGCACCTTATATACGCAGGCCCGCAAAAGGGGTGATCGGACACCCTGGCCCCTCCTCCTCCTCCTCCTCGCTCCTGTTCCTGGCCGCAGAGGGGACGATCGTACATCCCTTGCGGTCCAGGCGCTACTCCTAACCTCCTAGCACTCCTCCCCAGTCCCCTGGTGTCGAGTTGGGCTCGGCAACAGCTCGACGTGTCATTCTTGGTCACATGCTTCCCATGTGTGCATTCCTCCTACTGGGGTGTATGTTCCCCGTCGTCACGTGCTGCGTGTTAGGGGCCCGCGGTGGCCTGACACCAGCGCCGGAGAGGACGGGCCGGGTCTTATCTGTGACATGATCAGACATCCTTGGCCTCTCTGGCTCCTCCTTGCCCCTGTTCCTGGCCCACCTGTGTAGCCCACAGTTAACTGCCAGTTATCAGGTGTGATGCGCCGGGTTGGCACTGATAAGTCAGGGCTCTATCCAGGGTTCCCATATAAATGAATAATTATTGAAAAAATTGGACTTTTCACAATCTGCAAGACATTTTTTCCCTAAGACTTGGAATTTAACACTGGTCTGTGACGTCACAAAGGGTTTGTTACTAGCTATATTATGAGTGTAACATAAATAATTGAATGGCTGGTGACTTGTGTCCAGTTCAGTGCCTGAGTCACACTGTTACATATGGTCACATAGTGTGACAAATTTCCAAAAAGGGACATTTTCGCCATTTGACAGTATGATTATCAGAGAATATCACAGAATGTCACAGATCCACAGATCATCACAAAACCAAAGTTGTATGTTTTGTCTATACAAAAAACTTTCATTAAGTAACCTACAGTGACAGCTGAATAATTATGCCAGCACTAGCCAATCACTGGCTGATCTGCAACTAATAAGATAATATCTCAATAACTAGATAGGCTACACAGCTGATTGAAGTACCAATAAGGATTCTAGAATAGTGAGATCACTGGCAATATCCTTGACAATACAATATTGTTGGTATGTATATACCACTAAATGATTGTGCATCAGACATATTGATTTGGCAATATCTCTCTCATGGTTTCGGTCGGGCCGCCAGGCCGTTCAGGCCTGCATCCCTGCCATACTCCTCAAAGTTCCCCATTCTTCCAACCCCTTCCTTTCACCCATACGGGCCCTACGCAGTGCCCATCTGATCCACCCTGGGGCCTGGCACTCATCCGATCCATCCCTAATATCCTAGCATATAAAGACCGTACCTACAGGATGTAGTCATTAGGCTAATATTATCTATTCTCCGGGCCAAAAACCATCTTCTCATGCTCCTCAGACCTCTTCAAAGTCAAACGACCCAACAACCCAATACAGCTCAAGCCTGATGCTGACAATCTCTCCCAATTCTTTCAAGATTCAGATGATTGTTCCACTAGTAGGTAGATAGTTATATTGTTATCATATGTCCTGATATGAGAATAGTTTCATACCTTTAGACTATACTATCCTGCTTTTCTATTCTCACAATGTTATAACTTATCACAACAGAAAGAAAATTCTACAGCTTGCAAAATTTCAACTACGCTTTCCCCCCCGATAAATAAGGCATAAACATAACTCTAGAATGAAATAAACCCTGTTTCGCGCCAGAACCGCAGCCATCGCGACGTGTCGCATGCGTTCAGCGACGACACAGAGGCGATCCCGGGACTGAGAATCTGTGCTCGCGCGGTAGCGAAGGAGAGGCTGAAGGCGCCGTCGCCCTCCATCGCGCGCTGGATGAACCAGAGCAGTTTCAGGGCGGGCTTGCAAATAGTAAGTAAAGGCTCGGAGAGTGAAACAGACTCACGAGTTGGGTCAGCACATCTGTGTCTACATCCGCCCCGCGCTGTTCCAGCCGCGCAACCCAGTCGTTAATGGGGATGAACGGCAGCGCCACGGTGTTTGCGATGGCGCCGACGAGTGCGTCCCACGTGACGGGATGGGGGTGGACGAGATTCACCGCGGGCGCGGGTGCGGAGACAAACACCGCGTCGACGATGGCTTGCGCGACGGGCTCTGGGGGCACCCATGACACGACCATGTGACCGGGCGGGTCAGACGGAAATGCGCCGAGCGTCATGCTCGACTTGACGATTGCGGGTAGCCAGTCCGTCCTCGCCCATGCCCCATTGCCCAGCGACCCGCATATCTGTCCGATGCGGAACGACGTTGCGGGCAAGCCTGAGGCAGCGAGGATCTACAAAACAGTTAGTTGCATATCACAAGTGGAAAGGGAAAAACTTGGACTGACCCGCTCAGAAACATACTTGCTCTCGCCATACCCGCTTCCGATCGCAATCCCCGCGTCGAGCACGATTTCCTCAGGGACCGGCCCGCGCTTCTTGTCCCAGTTCTGCGCTGAGCTAATGGAGGACGTGAACAAAAAGCGCGCTGGTGAGGAGCAACTCCGGCCCAAGTCGATAAGGTGGCGTGTCCCGCGCACATGCGGCTCAAACGACGAGAGGGTCTTGTTGAAGTCGAGTGTCCAGGCGTTGTGTATGATGGCAGTGACCGTTTGGACAAGCTATCGCCGCTGATAAGATGATAGTACATCGAAGGGAAAAAAAAGCACCTGAGAATACATGGCAGATGGAAGTCCCAAATCAGCTCGACTGGAATCGCCTTCGAGATAAGTGAGTTTTGGCGATGACAAAATCGACGTGTCCAGAGCATGCTCCTTGAAGGCAGACGACTGCCGGTGTGAGATCGACAAGCCATTGCGACCGGGACGATTGAATGCGTAGACTCGTTCCACCGACGGATGCTGCAGCAGAAACCTGAGGAGGTGCGACCCAAGTCCGCCTGTGGATCCAGTCAGGAGAACCACCGCTCGACTGGGAGCCGAATCATGGGCTGACCCAATTGGCTGATTCAACCCCTGCGAATGCCTCGCAATCATGGCCTCGATGGTCATGCGTGGATCAGCAGCAGTCGCCGGACACTCTCCGCTGACTTGCAGCTCGTGAATCGCACGCGCAAGCCTGACAATGGTCGGGTTGGCATAAACAAAATTCGACTCCAGATCCGCCTTTGGCGGGAGCACAGCGGCAATACGATGGCGCAAGAATGTGGCCTGGAGGGAATCGAAGCCCTGCTCGAAAAGATCCACGGCTGGATCCAACTGCGAGTCAGAGCCTTGAGACGAAATGTGACAGGCCTGGTGGAGAAGCCAGCGCTCGAGATCGTCTATTGCCCATGAAATGGGCGGCTCGATCTGAATTTCTGTTGTTTTATTCGTCTCGATAGCGTCATATCTGGGATTCAAGTCAACGAAAAGCTGGAAAACAGAAGCCGGCGTACAATGCACGAATCTCTGGCTCGTATAGCGCAATTGTCGCTTTGCGGACTACAGTCCCTTTCATAGTTCTCACTACCTGCCGACCCTCCTTGACGATCAGAATCATTTCTGGATATACTTTGGCGAATGCCGGAGCAATCTCATTCGCCGCCTGCACTTGGGCCCATACCAAGTCCGGGAAATCCATCCGCAAGTCGTTGGTCGTTGGATCGATGGCAAGAGGCGACGGTTCAACAAGCACCCCGACCTGGTTCTGCTCCCGCCCAAACATGAGTGCACTCGATATGTAAGGACTGCCGGAGATGACATCTTCCATGGGTCCGGGGACGGTTTTTTCTCCGTTGGCCATAATGATGACGTCATCAAGGCGACCCACGCTATAATTAAATCAGCTGGACGATTAATTCAAGTTGGTTCAAGCGTACATGCGATAGAGATGCGGCTTTGCTGGATGTTGCATAAATAGGTCCTCGGTCGCGTAACCCTCCAACTTGAGTGCCGAGAGATTAGTGATGTTGGGGAGATGTGTCGGCACCGTCTTTTTGGCTGGTAGTCAACAAAACGGCGATGAGATCAAATAGGAGCACACCAAGCACTGCAATTCTGCTGTTCCATCGCCAACGGAAGACCAGCGGGGGGTGATACGTTTGCTGAACTGCATCCAGGCCCACTCCGATGGAGAAACATCTCGTGGAAAGAGCGTATTCACGATTCCAACTGCCAGAGTCAGTCAAACGATAGGAATTATGCTGAAGGGCTGACTCTCTGTCGACCCGTACATTGCCGCGATCCTGACCCCGCCTTTGACGAGTTTATCGCCGATGTCCTTTGAAAGTGGCCCGCCCGTGTACATCTGGTAGTCAGGTTCAATAAACATAATCTTGCCACAAGAGAGTGGTCAACCCACTGTAACCCGCAACGTGCTCAAATACTGCACAGCCTGCTCAGACTTTGCCCATGCCGCGAGGAAAACAGGAATGGTAAGGATCCCCGCAGCCTTGGTTGCGCGGGTGACTTGCAAGGCGCTTTGAGGAGTCGGAAAGGCCGGGATCGCATATAACAAAGGGTTGGAGAGAGAAGATGGGGCGGCAATACAGGCGGTGAGACCATGATACAGAGGACCAATGAATTGCATCACGACGCCGGTAGCGTGAAACGATGGGAGACCGCCAGCAGCAAGACGCAGACGTGGGGTCGATTGGAGAGAAACCAAGTCGGGGAAGAGATCCAAAGAAGCGATTAGCTGAATGGAGCGATGGGTAAGCGGAATGGGTTTGGGAAGACCTGTGCTTCCTGCGGAATTGTCAAGTTACAGATCAAATCACACAAAGAAACAGACCACTGGAATGAAGATAGGAAGTAACGCTATCGAGCGGTGCCACTGCCTGAGGGGAAGGGTAAGGCACGAAGGGACTCTCTGCCGTCTCGCGTCCAAGAAAGGGATACACTTGGCCCAACGTGGGCATTTCTTCGATCAAGATCTCGGTGCATGCGTAGTGAACCTTGATTGCAGCAATAAGCGGACCCAGTGAGGCGTGCGTTGTGTATATGCGGCTTGTTTTCGTAGCTGTTAGGAGGTGAATGAGCGCTGCTGGACTGTTGCGCGGAGAAATCGGGAAAGGCTGATATCGGAGTCAGACCGAAAACACAAGAACGATGTGGTTACTCACGATGAAGCCGGCTTTGCTGCATCCAGCGAACAGTGTCTGATATAGTAGTGTGTCGACAAGAGCTAGGATGGCCACAACCTCGCCTTCGGGTCCGTCACGAGTCGGGCGAAGGAGGTGCGCAACTCGATGTGTCGCGCGCGCAAATTCCCAATGGGTGATATTGACGATGTCAGACTCGTCTGAGAAAGAGAAAATGGGTGTCAAGTTTCGTTGCTGGATATGGAAGTCGACTGCTTCAATCACATTGAGCGAGCCATCGAGAGGAGGGGCAACGAACTCCATCGCAGAAAGGCGAGAGGGGATAGGGATTTTCGCTGGAAGATTATGTATTTTGTGGGCTGCCTCAGAAGACGCGATTATTTCAGGTTGACCGTTGTCATCTATCTGCAGACTGGTGGTAAACCCTCGGCGCTCAACTCATGAATCGACGATCTGGAATGCCGGTAGGCGGAACAGAACCGCTACATTGCATACGAAAAAAAAGCATCGTCGCCGTGCTGCTGCCAGGGGTCTCCGTTCATTTTGGGATTGTGACTTTGAAACGCCAGGCCAGCTCGGATGCGATGAATTAGTTGTTTCGTTATGCCCAAGGGTCAAAGAGCAAGATTCTTGTGTCCACAACTCGAGTTGGACGATAACCGATATGTCAGTTGAGTCGGAATGCTGTTCGGCAGCCATCATCGAGAAACCACAATTGTAACGGCACTACTTCAGGCGATATTCTAAGTACTGAGTAGCGATATAGCGGAAAGACGGAAGCTTAAAACTCACCCTGGTTTCTATTTGTATTGTGAAGAACTTGAAAGTTCAACAAACGTGTTCTAACGACGGCCGCAACTCGTCGGATTAGCCGTGCTCGATCTCGTCGTTGCAATAGTTACCGCTGCCACCCCCATTGTCACTTCTTGGCCAGCCGAAGCCGACGTGAGGCAGCGGATTCCCAGTTATTTTTTGCTCTGCGCTCATAGCATGCTGGGCCTGACTCGCAATTGGAGGAGGCTGCCCTTGAATCTGAGTATCCGGTAATCCTGGACCTTAGGCGTGCGGGTATGCATCCGCGCCCGCCGCCGAAGACTGAAGCGAGAAGGAATAGTGAACGCCATGTGACATGTCACCGTCACGGCCTCGTCACTCATCGGTCACACGCGAGATCATTTCTGCTCCCGCTCTTCGACGATACTGTATCGCTGACATCTCGAAGGTTTGTGCCTGAGTGAGACGGACGGCAGCGGAGATCGTCAAATTCCGGGCTTCAACTTCTACGCAACTCTACGGCGTTCAAAACTTGAATTAAATACTTAAACCAAAACTATATACTTACTGCCAGTGCGGGAGTACGTTACTTGTTTGAACTCTCCATCCAGATTGAGCTATTATAGGTCGCCGATGCCCGTCGCACTTCTTCTACACTTCCACCAGAAGAAAAGTTTGAGAAAATGCCGACCACGACATTATGGTTGCATTATGGCATGATATCGATACAGTTCCTGGCAGGTAATAGTGATAACATCCTCCGGGAAACTGCCGAACGATGAAGGGGCCACTTTGGCAAGAGTGCCGTAGAGACGGGTTGATATCGATGGTTGCCTTGGGCTTGAGTCCTCAGTTACTTTGTATTGTAGAGTCTCATCGTTCAAGTTCTAGGCATGGTCTTTTTGTCTCCATCAAACAGCTCAAAAAATAGCTAATCGTTTGATCTCAGCCGCAGCCTCCGCACCACGACCATACCTAAGCAATTTAGCGGCACCTTGGGCATGCGCACGTAGCATCATTCCTTTCTCCCCTCTTGCCTCTCCCAGAACCATCTCAAACTCCTGGATTGCGTCTTCGATGGTGCCTGTAATGTTGAGTTTATCGCCAAATCTCAGCGAGGGCCCGATTTGAGCTGCAGTGCGAATCTGATGATCATGAGCAACTTTGGAACTGAACTTGAATACGGGAAAGTCTGCCTACCTGCATGAACTCAAATGCGACTGGATGGGGTTCAGACGAGAAATATGCCGCGTTTCCGGGCTGCTCGGCACCCGCAGGCCAGATGATCATTGGCATACCGAGAGTTAAGGCCTCTGTTATCGAGCTGACGCGCTATTTTTAATACCTTGAGATTAGAGTAAGTATGACAAAACTCACTTGAAGCCACCATGGGTCAGGAACCAGCCCACGGCCTGATGTTGTAGGATAGCGCGCTGCTCAACCCAGTAGGTCGCAATGAGGCCCTTGCCGCTGGCATTGACGCGGTCGATGAACTCTTGGGAGAGACCAGTCTGCCCTAGATTACTGCCGAGAGCGAAGACGAAGGGGAAGGCGGGTTCAGTAACAAGTAGTATGTCAATGAGGGCTTCGACGTGTTTTGTGTTGGCTACAGGGAAGAAGAGTGACCTAGCAATCGTGTTCGCATTAACAGCGAGGTTTAGCAGAGGAGGAACATACCCAAAGGAAATATACAGGACGGAGTTCTCGCCATGTGTGGCGTAGGCAGAGTCCAAGAAAGTTCGAACCACCTCGTTGGTGATTGGCTCGTGGGGAGGGTCTTCTTTGAAATATTTGTCGTGAGTCTGCGGTCCCACAGTGAAGAATGTTTGGCCGCGCTTCTGGTAATAGTCTTGCAAGAAAGGCACACCGACAGGTTCTATATAGGCCCCTGTTGCTGCGATAAAGCCGTCGACGCCCTTGGCAAGTGTTTGTCCTGAAGTCAGGATAGGCCAATGCCAGACTGGCGGCCCGGCAGCCAGCGAAATACGCTCGTAGTCATACATGTCTGGCACCCCAAGAATCTTCACGACTTCGCCAGTCAGTTTATCAGAGCCATTACAGGCCTCGCAAATCTAAAGTGTTCAATCAAGACTAGACCACGGAGACGACACTGAGGGCATACATCGAGCTGGAGTTCTTCCTTGCTGCGGCCGGCGCGCGCTTTCTCATCGACCCAAATCTTATCAAAGATTGCCGCAAAGTCGTATTCGCTGACGCTGACATACATGGCTGCTCCGTTTGAGCAGTACCACAAAACGGTCTTGACATCTGGGCCGACTATCGCTTTCGTTGGCGCAAAAACAGGTCCGCCGACCGTGAAGTCGAAATGTATGGTTTGGGGCGACGGCCATTCCAGACTACCCGCGACAAGCACGGGAATCGTCGCCATCCAACCCATCAGTAATTGCGTGAAGGGGACCTCAAACGAATTGGGGTCGAATTTGACACTGTTGGTCTAGCATTAATGTTGTAGCTCGAGGGCTGGATGATACAACGCACTGCTCGTCGCCCACACCAATAAGTCGTAGACGCTTGGTATCGTACTTGCAAGCAGACAGCTCCTTCTCCATGTTAGGGACTAAAATACGATCAGAATAAAAATATCGTGGGTTGAAAGAGATATGACCCATGAGTTTGTGTTGGACGATGGTCATAACCAGCGTTGGTTCTGCATTGAGGAGCTGAACAACGAGGTGAAGGTACCCAACGGTATGCCCCCACATTGGGGGGAGCAGCGTAACTGTGTGATGCATCGACATGGACGTAGCAAGTTGCAAGCGAAGGGATTCCGATGACTTAGAGCACGGAGGACGAGTCTAGCCTTATCTTGTTGTTTGGCGAGCAGTTTCAGAAACTTGAAAACGGGGTTAAGGACAGCGATTATTTTCTTTCTGTCAAACAGGCGTCGTGCGACGTTGAGCAAACATCTAGGGGACTTCTGATCCCCATTGGCAGCTTTTACTCGGGAGGCAATCCTCACCATTACATCTTGAATGAGCAACTATTCCCAACTTGACTCGGAAGTCCAACTTCTGCGGGAATCTGCGCATGTTGCTACAATGTCGTTAGTGTCACACACCCTCAAAGAAAAAAATCCTTACCAGATGTCTACAAGCACCGAATTAGTCGCAGCGACGATATATGGAAGAATGGTGGGAGTGCGGGTCAAAAGTCGGAACGTGAGAATATGGCTGTCAACCGGGCTATCACGGCAACTTAAGCTCGGCGCCGGTGTCGATCTGTACTGGCCGAGAAATACCGCCCTGAGGAAGGATCTTCCGTCTATCCGCTGAATAGGTTCACAATCTTCGGTAAGTACCAAGTATTTTCTTATCGGTTAATAGTGCCAGTGACTTATATTCAAGTTTTTGTTCCATTTAAATAACATTTAACATTTAATTTACCAGTAGACAGTCCGAGTCATGGGGTCCTTGCGAACAAAATTAGCTTGTAATGATTGAATCTTACTCCTTGTGCAATGAGAATGCGAGACACTTTTACTTTTGCTTTACTTAGTGGTCAACTCGAAGGGATGAATTTGGTACTCGTAAGCAATCGTGACTGCGATACTGATCTTTGTCGATGTTGACCGTGACGTTGCACCTTCTCGGGAATGCTATCCACCCCCGTCTCCCACTCTCATGTCGGAGTCGACTAGAGCAAGGGTCAGCACAGAGGTATTCACTACTGGACTGTCATAGCCTCGACGCGACGAAGTAATGCACCCATTTTACTAGGTGTCCATATCTCACCAACGACGCGCAAGCGTAAGCCCTGAACAGCCGTTGGCCGCTCTTACCGCTGGGAAACATGAATCTGACACTGTTCGCATCGACGACTCAGAGAAAGAGCGAAACTATCCTCACGGTCTCACCTTGTCTTTGCTTATGGGAGCGCTATGTCTTTCTGTATTCCTGGTCGCGCTCGATACGACCATTAGTGGCAAGTGACGCGGCCCTGATTCCGGTCGTCAACTCAAGCCATGTAGCCACCGCGACTCCGAGGATAACAGACGAGTTTCACTCCCTTGACGACCTGGTCTGGGTAAGTCTGCTCTTCTTTTTTGATTTCTGGCTCAGCAAACCATTAGTACGGAAGCGTCTATCCTCTTGCAACCGCTTCTACTCAACTCCTCTTCGGTAAGTTCTACACCTTTCTATCCATCAAATGGGTTCGTCGACTTCCAATGGCTTTTTCATGTCTAATCTGGCCAGGTCTACATCGCTGCTATTGCAATATTCGAAATTGGTTCTGCAGTTTGTGGCGCAGCGCCGACATCGAAGGCGCTGATCGTGGGCCGTGCTCTTGCAGGTGTTGGCTCAGCGGGCATATTCTCTGGCGCGTTGATCATAATTGGTAGGATTTCAGATCCTCTCTTTGAGGGATACTCACTGCTACGATACAGCTCATTCGGTTCCACTCGCAAAACGGCCCATCTACACCGGTCTCATTGGAGCTATGTTTGGTATAGCTAGCGTCGCTGGACCACTTCTTGGCGGAGTTTTCACCGATAAGGTCTCTTGGAGATGGTGCTTCTACAGTACGTCTGAGGCTCATCTTTGTCTTCGCAGAGCTTCACCCTTCTCAAGTAAATCTTCCCATCGGGGCTATCACCCTCGCTTTAGTTGTCTTCCTCTTCCAAATGCCCCCGAACGCAAAGCACGAACCGAATACAATCACCCTACGCGCTCGTATCGCCCATTTTGACCCCCTTGGCACAATCATCTTCATACCTGCCATCGTGAGCCTTCTACTCGCGATGCAATGGGGTGGTTCAACCTATGCTTGGAACAATCCACGAATAATTGGCCTCTTTGTCACCTTCGGAATTCTCGTCCTTGCGTTTGGGGCTGTCCAAATATGGATGGGCTCTAACGCAACTGTTCCTCTCCACGTTTTCAGACGACGATCGGTTTGGTCTGGCGCTTACTTCTCCCTTTGCCTTAACGGCGGCTTCTTTCTGCTGGTGTTCTACCTCCCGATTTGGTTCCAGGCAATCAAGAACGTTTCTGCAGTCAAATCAGGCATCTCCACAGTCCCAATGATCCTCTCCCTCGTCATCGGTGCCTTTCTCTCCGGCGCCATTGTGACCGTTACCGGTCTCTACGCGCCATGGATGTGGGTTTCTACTGCGCTGATGACCATCGGTGCCGGCCTCATCTCCACATTCTCTGTAACGACCCCACATCCAAGATGGATCGGTTACCAGGTTATTTACGGGCTCGGGGTTGGGTTCGGCATGCAGCAGCCGTTAATTGCTGTTCAGGCCGTACTCCCACTAGAGGACATCCCCACTGGTACTTCAGTGGTGATGTTTCTTCAAACGCTTGGAAGCGCTCTTTTTATTTCTGTTGGGACTAACGTCTTCACCACGAATCTGGTTTCAGGAATAACTCGCTCTGTTCCAGGCATCTCGCCGCTTGCAGTTGTCTCTGCAGGTGCAACAGATCTACGACACATCGTCGATCCCCGTTATTTACCTGCCGTGCTTGAGGTCTACAATCACGCCTTGACAAAAGCATTTGAGGTCTCAATTGTGCTGGGTGGACTGTCGTTGTTTGGCGCAGCATTGATGGAGTGGAGAAATATAAAACGAACACAGATTTCGGTGGCAGCTTGACCTTATTGTAGAGTAATCAGACCTTGTACGGTACTTTCTTCGTAACTTGTATTCACCCGATTGCTTTGACACTGATTTGCAAGCCGGGAGGCTATTAATATTCAGCCTCGTGTGTGACGGTCACGAGGCGCTGACGGTCACGCGTCACACACGGATTTTTTTTTCCCTTTCGAGTTCCCGATGAGCAGATGCCTAAGGCCTTGGATTGCATTGCTTGATGGGTTCGGGTGAGAGCTCTCCGCCCTTTCCGTGTCGTGTGAACGTCAATACTCAATGTCAGGTACTGCCGGCGTCGTTGAAAACTTCTTTTGAAGCAAGCAACACAAACTCGCGATCGGGGAACGGCGTCAAATCGTTATCGGTCGGTCGGCAATGAACATGCTAGGCGGAGCTGAATGACAGTGTACGGCTTGACCTGCACCTCTCACCAAACCTGATGCTAATCTATAAGATCAGGATTTAGCTTGACGAATGGATTGAGGAAACACCTCTTCGCCTCAATGTCCACCCACCACATTGCAACATTACTCCCCCCAATGTGGGGCCACACTGTGGGCTATCTTCACCTATCAGTACAGCTCCTCGGCGCGGATCCAACGCTCGTCATGTCGATTGTGCAGCACCAGGTTCTTGGTAGAGGGTTTCGTCTGCTAGTTTGTATGCTCATTGACATCAATTCAACAGTCTCCCAGATGGAAAAAGAACTCGCAGGGTGCACATACGACTCTTCGCGTCTTCGGATTATCGGTGTCGGTATGCCTCCAGATAGCGGGTGCGTGTTCTGTTTCGACGCCTCATTCATTCTAAGGCTAGCAGAGTTGCATTCGATCTGGATGCTTACGAGGCCATCTTCCGTGAGCTAGTCATGGGCTGGATGCAAATCATTCCTGAGCTCGCTCAGGGAAGCGCCGAATGGCCAAAACCACGAACCATTCATGTGCGTCTATGGTCAGTGTACATGTGTGTCGACGTATATTTAATAAACCTACAGTTCGACTTCACCTGCGGTGGGCATGTGATTGACCCAACCAAATCCATTCTGGGCCCCGATATCAAAACCGTGTTATGGTACTGCTCCAACGCGGCCGCACTGTTCGTTATGGTAAACGAATGTGACTTCACCGCTATTTTCGACAAGATCATGGGCGACGAGACATTACGAGCGGGCCGTGCACCAGAACAAATTCAGCTGGAGGTATGAGTTTCTTCATTTGAAACGAGAAATGCCGACTTTTCACTCAAGATTTGCTCGGCATTTAATGGCACAGACAAACTGACGGGCCAAATCGTGCACATCCCGGGTCTGCCGGACACATACGACTATGAGCGGGTCACTCTTGCTGCCGGTCCGCCCATCACTGGTTGGCCGATCCTAACCTCTGGGCAACAGTTGGGGAAACGCGTCGATGGCTACATTGCTGCTTCAGGATCATACCTGGAGCCTATGGGTATTCCCCAGATACGAAAGCACTATATGGAGCACAACCAAACATTGTTCGCCGTCGGACCGCAAACACATCCAAAATATTTCGAGGCGAATGCTACACAGGAGCAAATAACCGATCCCGAGATAGCTGGCTTCCTCGACAAACACAGCAAGAACTCGGTACTCTATATATCTTTTGGGTGAGCTCCAAACTTCTTTCTCTTTTCAAACTAAGTGATTACGAGATCGTTGTTCTTCCCCGTTGCGACGCCGAAACACGTCGAGGCGCTGGTCGAGACCCTTTTGACGCTGGAACCAGCTTTCCCCTTCATCTTCGCTCTCGGGAGCTCATGGAGCCAAGCCGCCATCTCTTCATCACTTATCGAGCGTGTCAATTCAAGCGGGAAAGGCCTCATTTGCACCTCCTGGGTACAACAACGCGCGATACTCCAACACGACGCTGTTGGTTGGTTTCTCACTCACGGCGGCTTCAAGTCTGTCATATTCATTTGATGTCGTACCTGGCTAACTGGTTCATTAAGCTCAATCACGGAGGCCATGACCTTAGGAATGCCTATGATTATCTGGCCAGTTGCTGCCGAGCAGCCAGGAAATGCCTTGTCGTTCTCATCGGAGCCCAACCCTGTTGCAATCGAGCTTCTACAGGTAATGTTCCGTGATGTAGCATTCTTCAAAACTCACCATAAGGATCAGATTCGCACCGGCGCCCAGGTCGGCCCTTCGTTGCGGTTTGGCGACAGCGTGAATATTACTGGGACTGTCGAAGACGCCGTCGCTGAATTCAAGGCCGTTTTTGCCGAGGCTCGCGGTGCGAAGGGTAAAATGTTGAGAGAGAATGCGGAACGGCTTCGTAATACAGTGCAGATGGGGAGAACAAACGAGTCCGCAGAAGAGATCAAACGATTGGCTGCATTTTAAATAAGAGACAAGCGCAGATACTGTGAATTTGGTTTTAAACAACATAAGCTGCATCTACCCAGGACGCGTAATCGCTCCCTACAGCACTGGAAATCGTATAACTTGCTGCCTGACTTGCACTCAGTGCGGTCGCAAAGCTCGCTCGGGAGAGACCGGAGGCGCCACCGCCAGAAGTGTTGTAGTCTGCGAAGAAGACCTGGGCAAGTTTCAATTCACAGTTGTAAGCAAATGTAACGCCATACCGAATCCGTGTTGGGGCTGGATGACGACCAGACTGACCAGAGCGCCTTGTTGATTGTTGGGTTGATCACTGTGTTTTTAAAGATAACTCTGGTCCGATGTTAGTTTTCTGGCACATATATCAAGAAGGCCTTGACTTTGCATAATCTAATAGGCAAAGGTTCATCAACAAAAAAAGAAGTGAAACGCAGCAGACTTACTTCCCCATGGCCGACCGAGATAAAACTTCCCAGTAGTGTTAGAGGCGGCACCAGAGGCAAGAACGATAGTGTTTTGGTTGAACACGTCTGGTGAAAGGTTGAACAAATATCGAATGCAGACACTGATGACATACAGCTGAATGCGTCGTTGGAGGTTCTTCCACTTGCGGTTATGTACCCGGGGCCCTTGACGCCAATCGTGTTGCCGCCGAAGTAAGCAGTTCCAGAGCGGCCAAATATGAAGTCTGTCGCGCCCTACCCATGCAGATGAGCTTATGTGTTTCCGTGCTTTCGAAAGGTTTACCTCAATGTAGCCTTTTAGATAGACCTGGGTTCCCTGATTCGCATAGAGTGTGTCTTGATACCCATAAAACCCGCATCTGCAATAAACTCAGACCAGGGAGTTGACTAAAGGACAACATACCCGTAAAGACCAACCCGCGAGCCATACTGGCTGATTGCAATAGCTTGTACGCCAGCACCAAGGGTGTTCTTCACGTTGACATTGTACATGGCAAAGTCATTTTTATGGATACGCAGGGTCCCGCTAGCGTCGTCTGAGCCCGCAGCCGTAGCATTTCCGGCAGCGACGATGTTGACCTGGTTCCCGTTGTAGGTCGACGTGTCAGAAGTATAGCCGTAGACCTTTCAAATGCTGAGAAATATCCACGGACAAGGGATAAGATGACGCACAGTCAGCGGTCCTGAGCGGGTAATATAGACCTGACCAGAATAGGTGCCAGGATAGATGAAAATAGAGCGGGAGCTGCTGTCGTTGGGAAGAGAAGCAACCGCTGCGGCAAGTGTGGAGAATTCTCCAGATGTTGTCGTCCCCGCTCGAACAACAATGGCGCCACTGGGCGGACTGGTCCGCGACGCCCCCAAAACGAAGACTGCAAAAAGCAAGGGCAAACAAAGAAGCTGGGTTAGAGTCATTGAGGAGCTGAGCTGGTAGTTACATGCCTAGCGTGCTTTTATGGACCGGCTAACGCCTCGAGCGTAGAAGTCTGGTGGTTGGCTCACGAGGGCAGCGGTCCGGACGACAGCAAATGTTTTTATCCGAGGTTATGAGTTTTGGAAGAGGAAGGCGTTGTTTGAATGAGAAATTTTGCCGAACGACAGCATGACATGCAGCAGTGGGTTCACCAATTGAAGGAGAGTCTGGGTAAAATCGAATGTCGTCAAAGGTTATGTTATGTTATGAAGGTGGATTGGAAGAAAAGGGGAAGAACGCGTTCTGTCACAACCGTGACGCGACGTGACTGTGAGGTCACACCCTTTTCAAAACACTATGCCCGGCCGACCCAAACGCAAACGGACAGACTCAGTCTCTGCTCCGGAAGACTCCAAACCCGTAATAACGCGGTCTACGACGTGGATGTCCGATGGAGACGTGATCCTGCAAGCCGAATCGACACAATTCCGCATAAACAAAGACGTTCTGCGCCGCCATTCTCCTGTCTTCGAGTCAATGTTTTCCCTACCCCTGCCAAAGGACGAACCAACTATTGAAGGCTGCCCCGTTGTATGCGTTGAAGACTCGGCCCAAGACTGGGAGCTGTTCCTCGAAACCTTGTATGACCCGTGCGTGTTTCTGTTGTTTGGTTCTGAGCCATACAAAAGAGTTAATGGCATTTAGATTCAAGCATACCCATCTCTGGCCGTTCAATATCGTTGCTGCGATGCTCAGACTCGGAACTAAATACCAAATGGAGTCGGCACGCAACAATGCTGTGTCGCGTTTGCGACGCCGATATCACACGACTTTGGCTGGTTGGGCGCTTACTGAACCGATTCTGACCGAATCGGACGAATTCCTCCCGCTCAGGGTTCTCCAACTTGTCTACGAGTGCGATGTTCAGACATGTATTCCCAGTGTCGCATATGAATGTTTGGAAGATTGGACTCTGGTAAGTTATCAAGTCGCTCCGTTCTTCACTGTGTCCAATGACTTCGTGATAACTTGTAGGCCGAGCTCTTGGATGACCGGATTCTGGACGCAACCGGCCAGGCAATCGTTTTGTCGCCTCACATAAAACGTTTACTGGCTGTCGGTTTCGAGAGGCTTACCGCAGTTCAACGCCGACAACACTTGTGGCTGGGGACCGAAGATGTTGTCCCAACCACCACATGCGAGTCCAAAGCTTCCTGTATCAAACGCAGGGGTCCCCACCTTCAAAAGTTGCTCCAAATGGCGGCAGATACGCAGGGCGTTGATGTCTTCAGACCATGGACATTACCCAAATCTTTATGCTCTCGCTGCGATAGAGCTGCACAAGCCGAGTTCAACTCACAGCGAAAAAAGGCATGGGAAGGTCTTCCCGGCTGTTTCGACCTCCCAGCATGGTCAGAGCTTCACGACGGTGACAAGACTTCGAACGCTGATATGGATGTCACGGTTGTGGAGACTGGCGAGTAACATCAGGATGGCAATGGCCAGGGATTCCGATATATATACATATATAGTGACAAAAATGTTTCTTTTGGAGAAAATTAGCATAGCACACAGACTCGGATGTGGTAATATATTTCCATACGCCGGCGCAGTAAAACAGACAGTCATTGATCATTGGTTAGTCTCTTTAAAGAGGGGTCATTACTGTTTATGGTGCTTGACTTGCCTTTTCTGGCATGACGGCACACCAAAACGAGGCGACCATGCGCCGTGCGCGTGGAGAACCTCCTCTTTGACTCTTTGACTAGTTCCAACACGCCTCTTTCTCTCACTCTCACCACGACCATAACACTCACTCACTAAACCACTCCACTCGCTCCACGATGGCCACACCCGCCTGGTTCCTTTTAACAACTGCCTTGCTCTTCGCACTCTTCCTCTCTGTTGTATCTGCAACGGAGCCACTCGCATCGCCTATAGCTCGGGGCCTAACACCCCAAAGCCAATCACATCCCCGCCTCGAGCCGGAACAGCCCAGCTTCCTTGCGCGCTGGTTGACGCTGCCCACTTTGTCCGGCTCTCTCGATAGCTTGGGCCCACATAGAACTCATGTCCGGCGACATGGCCCCCGCCGTCGGACCTCCTTCCACCCGTGACCATCATAGAAATCCATCTTCCATGGGCGCATTGGTCGGTATTCTAGTTTAGATTTGAGAGGTGCTGACGGTATTTCAGAATGATCGTCTAGCCTAGCGCTGACCACACACCACCCAATAGAATTCGGACACGCGGAGCGTCATAATGATTAAGTTATAATGCTGCTGGAGCGGCGCTGTTTAGAGAAATTGAAGTGTTTGTAAAGTTATACGATGTACACCTACCGCGAATAATGATGCTGCTATACTTGTGAATATTGCTGTAGTCCGCCTTTGACTTGAATGAAAGTCAATAGAGGGTGTTCCGTTGCAGGAGACCCGCATCACGAATTTACATAGAATCGCACAGAGAGATTCTTGAAGAAGAGGCAAAGTCAAAAGATGAGCTTGAGAGTCACGGTGGTCACGGACCGCGAACTAGAATGATGAATTCATGGCTATTCATGGCCATACACCAGAACCAAGGCACGTCTATTTCTCTCTTCTGGGTATTTGCCACACCCACGACTGCGTATCATCATCTTGTTCTTATCAACTTTTGTAGTCTGTTATCTTTGCCCGCCATGCTTCTCCTCCTCCTCGTCTTTTGTGCTTACGTCGCCGCCCAAACACAGGAGTACCTCCATCCTAACATCCTCGATGTGACGAAAGAGGAATGGCACCAAAAGTACGGCAAGCAGCACGACATGGCGTTCACCGGTCCACTAAGCTTCATGCATCTTCCATACGCCAAGTGCCTTGAGGATGCATCTCAGCCTTTCGATATCGCCATCCTGGGGCTCCCGTTTGACACCACAACATCATACCGGCCTGGAGCGCGGTTTGGCCCAAGGTCGATAAGAGCCGCAGCACCGGGTGGTGGGAAAGCATATACATTAGCATGGGGCGCCGGAGTGTACGACTTTGGTGCGCGGTTAGTGGACTGTGGAGACGTAAGTCCCCGTCTGTGGTCGCTATCCATTAACTCTCTGCAAGGTGCCCGTAACTCCCATGGACAACGCAAAAGCCATTGACCAGATGGAGGTTGCCTACTCGACTCTCTTAGCACGACCCGTTCATGGGGCAACCAAATCGTACACCGCTTCTATGGCGAAAGATGGACTGGAGCATCCCAGAATCGTCACTTTGGGAGGCGATCATACCATTGTCCGTCTCTTTTTTCGTGTCCAACAGACTTGTAACACGCAATTCAGGTTCTACCAATCCTGCGATCCCTTCACAAGGTCTACGGTCCGGTTTCGGTCATCCACTTTGACGCGCACTTTGACACAGCCGACGTCGGTGCTGTTATCGGGCCAGAGCGCATTAGCCACGGCTCCTACTTCACGATTGCTGCCGAGGAGAATCTTATGACGAACCACAGCATTCATGCGGGTATTCGGCAGAAGATGGGTGTGAGCAACACCTTCAAGTTTCACTTTGTGCCTCATAACATTCTCTCAGGGGAAAACCATGGTAGAACACGACGAGTCAGTGGGGTTTGCTGTCATTAGCTCAGAGGATATGGATGACTACGGCATCGACGCGGTTATCCAGCGCATTCGACAGCGCGTTGGCACTGGCCCGGTTTATCTCAGCTTTGACATCGACACAATTGGTATATTTCTTGCTTATTCAAGTGGCTGTACCAACGTGATGATAGACCCAGCAATGGCTCCTGCCACCGGAACACCAGAAGCGGGCGGCTGGACAACCAGGGAAGTGAAGCGGATCATGCGGGGACTGGCTGGCCTCAATTTCGTGTATGTGGCCTCTTTCTCCCCTTATTGGCTTGCTGACGGTGCAACCAGGGGTGTCGACATGGTCGAGGTCGCTCCTGCATATGATCACGCAGAAATTACTTCGTTTGCTGCGACGAGCATCATTCTCGACTTTTTAATGATGATGCAGGCCGACTCGCCACCAGCTTCGCATGTGACAGTCTGAATTAAACGTCGTAACATTCGCTACACCGGTACTGTCTTGTTGCTGCTGTGAATTCATCTAAAAAAAAGTCTAAGCATGAAGTCAGGATAGCAAACAGCCTCGTCACCTGGAGATAGCTCGACGACTTCTAAGATCCCTCTTGCGTGTAATAGCGGCATTAGTTGCCTCACATCCTCGGTTCTTCCTTGAAACGCCAGCTGCATGACGATCCTTTGTGGCCCTGGCACAAGATGGGAACCTCCGAACAAATCGTCAATGTCGGACAGCAGAGAGTAGAGCAGTTCCGTGTCTTGTAGATTGATGAAGACTGTTTTGTTTTGCGCGAAGGTGGTACGGGTGTTAGTGAGAACCCGGATGTGTTGGATGTTGGTATGCAAATTTGTCAGGTCGCTCGTTAGCTTGAGGTGAAAATGCCGAAGAACATCGTTGCAGAGAAGATCGAGCAATGCAGTCCCGATCAAATGCACGTCTGTCGATAAAAGTCAGCGAAAAGGCGACTAACGGACACGTTAAGGTATATACCCTGTCCGTGTCTTCGAATGAGGATAATCTCCTCCAGCGTCGCGGCATTTGTGCTCAAGATTAGGTCATCGTATTCGTCGATACACACCGACCGCAAGTTGGTGATGGTTTTCACTTGCGCAAACGCTTCGAGTGCTTCCTGGTAGAAGTAGGAGGGCACGACCCTTAGCTCCAGTGATTCTAAGGTCGCTATGCGCGTGTCATCAGCTGTACCGGGCTGGGGAGGGGGCTCTTCGCGTTCGTCGACTTCATATATCATGATGTCACGAAGGACAAGGTGGCGAAGATTGGGGGTAACGGCCACAATACTTTCGAGTTCATTAATGGTCGCAAGATGTATTCGTGTGAGCTCGAGGCGTTGGAGAAATTCGCAGGGGGGTGCAGGCAAGATTGCGGGTCCAAGGTCGGGGGGGAGGGAGTAGATGTTCCAGATATCGTCCCAGCTTATGGCGCGTGGTTGGATGGAGAGTGCTGCAACTCCTGGAAGCGCCTGGAAAACGGCGCGGAGGGAACAGATGTAGGCGGAGTAGTCGTCCGAGTTTTCGTCGAGGACATTTTTCGGGTACGCGATGCTGACCTCCTTCACGTATGCGCCAAGATGTGGTGAGCTTTCGAGAAGCCGGGCGAGTCGAGTCACAATGTTGACCGCTGATACGGCGTCTCCCCGTGTGCAAAACGAATGGCGGGAGGTATACAGCCTCAACGAGTGGAATAACCGCTGTTGGCATGGACGAACGAAAGAGCGAGATGCGATAGAGCATGCTCGGAGGATTTCGTGATCTTCGGGCGAGGAAGTCGCGAGACTCTCTACTACTGTATCGATGAGCTCTTGAGGTAGCTGACTAGAGTGGGTCAGTCAGCTTCAAGGCAAGACACGAAAACTATGCAACGCGCACTACGAAGGTGTCGGCGGAGGGCTGGAAAAGGGCATGATGGCGAAAAAAAAGAGGGTCGATTCCGATGCAAGCCTCAAAACAGCTTAAAACAGGCTTGAAATTGTCGGCGGGAGCGGTCCGCGATGGGGAAGAAAAAGATTGAGTTGCATCTCATCAGTGATGCAATCTGTCTTACGGCATGTCGCGTGCTGTGATTGGCTTCTCTGTCTTTTGACTCGTGATGCCACCAATGCCACACCGCTGCGCACCAGACTCCTATACCCCTTCGAACTTTCAGAAATAGCTGGAGGGAAACACCAGAGTTGGTCGTATCGACAAGGTACTATCTAATTTCTCCGTTTTAGCGGTTTTGGAGGGGTTGCTGACTTTCAAGGAGATAGGGATTCCCATATCGTCGAATCCGGTACCGAGAGCTAGTAAATTATGGCCCCTAACATATTCAACATATATCGCCCTCCTTGCTGACCTCTCAGTTATCAATTTGCACGAGCTATTCGATTGGAGGCCGTGTCTTCCTTAAACCATTCCATGTCCTGGATTCCGAGCTGTTTGCAACCTTGGCACGCTTTCGAATATCAGGCAAGCCGGATTCACTGTTTGCTTACACCAACGCCACATAAGCAAGCCACAAATCATCCTTACGCGACCGATAACCCCCACCGAAGCCGCGTTTCTGCCGATTCGCAAGACTAAGAGGTGCTATGGTCAAGCGCCCGCCGCAGATGATGTCGTGTGAACCTTCTAGGGCTATGTATAAGTGGCCAGGTCGATGACTTGAAAGAGCAAAACTATGACAACCTCCAAGTCCCCACTCAATATTGTCTTCGTGCGTTGCAGCTATTACCAGGACTGCATGAACTGAACTTCGATAGGGTGCTATGACTGTTGGTGCCCCGGAGACCAGAGCAGAGGGCGCTCGTGTAACGGATGTAAAAGAGGTCGAAGCTATGTTGGACGTCTTTGTAGCGCGGGGCTATCGAGAAGTGGGTTGCAGCCGGGACACATTACAGCTACTGATACTTCTACTAGGTCGACACTGCGCGGTTCTATTGCAAAGGAACCAGCGAAGAATACCTCGGTAAGGTAGACTGGAAAGCCAAGGGCATCTTAATGGAGACGAAGCTTTATCCGACCAAACGGGTACCAATCACATAAAATACTCTAGGGCTCTGAAATACTCAAGAGATATAGGCACTCACGATGAAGCATCTTCTTGGTCCCGAAATATATGAGCAGTTGCAGAAGTTCGGGGTTTCACATACGCCAGAGGATGTCCGCAAACATCTTGCCCTATCTTTGGATGCTGTCAAGACCGAGTAGGTGGTTACCCTTCTCGATCGCCTGTTTCTTACGTGTGGATAGCTGTCTTGAAATGTTCTACCTCCACGGACCAGACCGGGCTACACCATACGAGGTCACCCTCAAGGCCGTTGATGAATTGTATCGCGAAGGAAAATTCAAGCGATTCGGAATCAGTAACTACGCTGCGTATGATGGTCCTTTTTTGTGAGCTTTACTAAGTTCTCATTATATTAGGTGGGAAGTCGCCGAGATTGTCGGCATATGCAAGGCCAATGGCTACATTTTACCAACGGTTTATCAGGGCGTTTACAACGCCATTCAGCGAACAGTCGAACCCGAGTTATTCCCCGCCCTCCGCAAGTTTGGTATTTCCTTCTACGCGTTCAGTCCTCGTGCGTATAATTTTTTCAATTAATGCGGGGAACTTATCTCGGTTGTCCATAGTGTCCGGTGGTTTCTTTACCGGCAAATACACCTCGATGGATGCAGAAGCAGTGCCTGGCTCTCGGTTGAATGCCGATAACTTGCCTGGAAAGGTCGGTCGTTGTCTATGGCCAACTCCAGGAAAGCTCACCGCTGCTTGTAGAGCATACGCGCGCGGTACATGCGCTTATATCGTATGTCTGAAGCTCAGTACTAATACATCTGCAGCTACTGGAACGAACCCAACTTTGCGGCGCTTGCTATCATCCGCCCCGTCATCGAGAAATACAACCTCACGATGCCCGAAGTCGGCCTCCGTTGGGTTGCCCATCATTCGAAGCTTCAGCGCGAACACGGCGATGCCATTATCATTGGCGCGTCGAATATCGGCCAGCTCAAGTCGAACTTGGATGATTTGGAGAAAGGCCCATTGCGTGCGTCCTTGCTTTGGAATGTGGCTCGGTCATTAATTGGGCTTCTCCTCAGCCGATGATGTCGTTGAAGCTTTGGATGAGGCCTGGAACATTGTCAAGGCCCATGCGACTGTTTACTTCCACTGAGATTCGTTGTCGCTTGCTATGTAGTGTAAATACTTGGTCAACTTCAAATTGTTGACAGAAGGATGTCCGATTGGATGATCCAAATACGATACGAACCCGATTCATTGTTCAATAATGTCCTGCAGCTGGCCTTCCAACTGTTCTCTCGTGACTCGTGATACTATGCATTTCTTGAACTCCGCCACGGCCATCACATATTCTTCCGTGTTCTTTTCCACTTTGACCGTGTTTGCGGTCTGCTGGCCTTGAAATCCTTCTTCGAAGCTCAAACGCCGCCTACATTTCTTCGACCATGCGTCATGCGGCATAGAGTATAAGATGGGGCTGGAGGGTGGTCTGACCTCCTGCAAACTTGAAGATGATTCCCTTCACCAGCCTTCATGGCATCTCGATGCTTGCGCTGCTGACCAGCGTTTCCGGACTCAGCAATGGGGTTGCCAAGCTGCCAGGTGTGTTTCTCTAGTTTCCTAGTCAACTTGCTTGAGATTGAATCGACTTTTCCAAGCTTTGGGGTACAACAGTAAGCAGAGATTCTGCGGAAGACCGATGTCTTAAATGCCTCCGTAGCCTGGAATGCCTACCAGGTGCCCTTTGGGTCAACAACTTCCGCCTCCGACTTACACCGACTGTAGTGCAATATCGACCAGAATCTGGTCCTTACTACAGCCAAACTTGTCAAATCCCTCGGCCTTCAGGTGCGTCCTATGCTTCTGACGGCGACTGACTGACTGACTGATCATTCACAGGACGCTGGCTACATGCATGTCAACATAGACGATTGTTGGTCAGAAAAGAATCGCTCTGCATCCGGCGACCTTGTTCCAGGTCCAGCTACACCAAAGTCCTCTGGCAGGTACTGAAAGATTGCATAGACAAAGTTCGCTTTCCAAACATAACTGCGATGACGAGTCAAATCCACTCTCTTGGCTTGTACGTGTCCGACTCTGCTGTGCATCAACTCGAAACTCATCAACGACTCCCTCAAGGCGGGCAGGGATTGTGCGTGCCTCATTTCCCTTCTCTCCGCTCTGCGCTTACTTGGTATGACAGTATGGGTAATTGCCATCTCCGCCAGCGTCCTTTTTTCGACGAAGCTTTACTCCTAGTGATTCTGGCTGGTTTACCTGTGCCGGTTATCCTGGCTCGTTTATGAATGAGCTTCGCGACGTTACGCAGTTCCAGGAGTGGGGATTCGACTACCTCAAGTTAGTTGTGCGCTTTGGTCTTGGCTATCTAATCCAACTCATCTCTCAGATATGATAACTGCGCCAGTCAGTCTGTTGGAAACAGCATCCAAAAACTTTGACGCTCACGATCTCCAAGTCCCATTCGACGACATTATCCGCGAAGGCATTGTCGGCAGTGAGCACGTTTCTTGTCAGTAATCTTGTCTGCTAATATCCAGTAGAATACCAACGCATGGCCGATGCAATAGCTTCCCTAGCAAAAACGAGCGGCAAGAAACCCTTCATCTTTTCCCTCTGTGAGTGGGGATGGAGCCAAGTCTGGCTGTGAGCACTTCTGTTCCTCCTCGCTCGAAATAATTGTATTTTGACGGATCTTCAGCTGGGGCGCCAGCATGGGCCATAGTTGGCGTGTTACTGGTGATATCGCCCCTCAGTGGGAATCACTGGCCGCCATCATCAACTTGTCAGCCATCGTAGAGCTTGCGACCTCGATATGAAGACTGATCAAGTCTTGCAGCAACTCGTTTATCACCCAGGCCACCGACTTTTATGGCCACAACGATATGGATATGCTCCAACTTGGGAACGGTGGCCTGTCTCTTGACGAAGCCAAGTCGCATTTCACGGCTTGGGCCTTGATGAAATCACCCCTGCTGGTGAGAAGCTTGCCTGTTCCTTTTTCTGACCCAAGCTCATACCCAACATAGATCGGAACGAATGTGCGCCTATCTTATGATTGAGATGAAGCTCACGAAATCCACAGCTTTCTGCCATCACTTCCGATATCCTTGGGATCTTAACCAACAAAGAAATTCTCGCTATCAACCAGGACCCAGTTATTGGCAAGAGCATTTCACCCTTCCGGTGGGGAATTAACGTTGGTTTTTTTTTTTGCTATTAAACTCGACGTTCATCCACCCCTAGCCCGATTGGACATCGAACAGCTCTTTCCCTGCACAATACTGGAGTGGTCCTTCGCAGAACGGAACAGTTTTCATGCTTGTATGTCGAGCCGAAAGATCGAGAGCCTGTTCAGAGTCGTTCTGACGCAACCACAGCTAAACACCCTCAATCAACCTGCTGACATGTTCTTCAATTTAACGGAATCACCCTGGATCCGCGCTGGCCGGCAATACTCCGTACGAGTATGTACTTTCAGGTTGCTCCTTCAAGTCGGATGTTGCTAAACAGAAAACTTGCTTAGGATCTTTGGTCTCATACCAACAACGGAACAGCGGTCCGCAACTTCACGGCCCACTCGGTCCCTGCCCACGGAGTCGTTGCTCTTCTTCTCAAAGACGCTGGAAACGAACCAAGCGGAATATTTCCCCAATGCTCAGTTTGGTGGCAATGCATAGACAAGAACGGAACCCACGTTGGTATGTGGTCTGTCAAGTTACTGATTTTTTGGGTCTCAAGTCATGTTCTTAGGCGGCTGAGAGTTGTCTAGCTAATTAGCCTATGCAACTTGGGCCAAGTCTTTATTTGCATTATGCAAATTGGTTGTCTGACGTCGTTGATAATTCACATTTTTTTGCGAAAGGACTAAGAATATATATGCTGCTGCTCCTACATTTATCGGCTCATGGGCAGTGCCTGTGGCGGCCTATGTCCAAATATGGGCATGGGTTTGCATCCGTGTCTGATGCGAGAAGACCCGATGTCAATCATGACATCCCGTGTATTCCGAGCGGCAACAACGATGGAGGTGCCACCGAGGTGTTGGAAAGGATGTAGGCTGAGAGTAGCAGTTTTTTGAATAGAGATGTGAATATATTGAGCCATAGGTGTGTTCAACAAGCTATTAGAATTGGTATATTACTATTGTGCAACTTGAAGTGTATGTTAGCTTCAAGTGGTCTTAATTGCGTCTTTTGGGATCTTTGGGAAAGATCTCAAGTCTTTCCCAAGACCAGGACGCTGCTGGAATAAGACCCAACATCTTTTGCATCTTTCAGGTCTTTTAGGTCTTTTTGGTCTTGCCCAAAGACCTAAAAGACCTGAAAGACTTTTGTGCACTTTTACTGATGCACTAGTGTAGTGCGCGCCGAAGGCGCGAAAACTTTGATAAATTCTTCAATTTGGGGGGCCAAAATTGCCGTATACTATAGGTACACACACTGCTTGAACATTCTAAATTTTTTTCCCAAACATTCACTCCTTGTCAAGCAGGGAAGTGCTTGACCAAGTAGCAAGTAGTTGAACAGCGGTTGCGCGTTTGCCGGCGGAGCCGTGGGAGTGATACCGGGTGACACGTGCATCGGTCCCAGAAAAAGCGCCGACCGGTGACGGGCCATCAAGCCCAGACTCACGTTTGAAAAACGATTGGCTGGGGCGTATGCCCAAACGGAGACGGTGCCCCGAAAGGGCATACGCCACGGAACAGCGCCGACACGAAGACGTGTGAAGGCCGCCCGATTTGGGCATCCGCCATCGAGCTCAACGACCCTGTTCCCGGCCGCAAAACAGCATGTTTTCTCGCGGACATTACAGCAGGTATGTACAGTAATCTACCATCCCTTCCTCTTTTCTCTCTTCTTCCTCCTCGCGATGTGTTTGATTTTTTTCCTCTAGCCACAGACATAAGCCATAAGCCCATTTATCCAAGATAATGTACAAAATAAAACACACATCGCACATCTACGGAAAAAAAGAGCGACAAAAGACTTCAACTCGCGGCTGCAGTTTGTCGATAGGTTCTCCCCTTCCCCCGTTTTCGCGGGGCCTGACTGCTGTCGTTCTCCTCGTCACTCTCGTCTCCCAAAGTTCGTTTGGCCCTTTTCGCAGGTGTTGCCTCCATGCCTCCATCAAGCCCTCGCTTGGTCTTCGACTTCGACCTGGTAACACGCATATTCGTCACCTCTGCCCCAAACGCGTCCGCGCCAGTCAGAGAAGACTCAACCTCGTCGACCTCCATCTGGTCGTCACTCTCGCCCTCATCTACATCCATCTCTCCTGAGGCGATCTTCCTATGTCCAGCCTTTTTCGGAGAACTCTGCTTGCGGCCCTTGAACGCTTTCCCCTTTTTAATGGCTGCCTCAATATCAAGGATGCTATGAAATAATCGATCAGAATACCAACTTGTCGACTACATGAACTAAAAACGCACCGATCTTCGAGTTTGGTGTTACCCGGGACATAGAGTAACGCACGGCGGTAAAGGTCAACAGCCTTGTTCAGCTCGCCTCTAATAGCATTTTTTTCAGTAAAGTCTTCGATTGTAAACAAAAACGACACACTTATTTTGATGCGTCCTCGCTAGTTCGACAAAAGATCTGCCAATCTTCTTTCTTGACACAGGTGAAAGGGAATCGACACGAGATGCGTCCTCGGTATCAGCATGACTGCCATATATCCGTCAGATGGTGTCACCAAAAACAGCCCACAACATACAGTTTGCCCTCAAGCTCAGCCAGCCTTGCCGCCAAGCTGTCATTGTCCTCGCGCGATCGTTTTGAGTTTGACGATGAAGGTGCAGACGCCTTCTCTTTCTTGGGAGAGCGTTTTTCTTTCTTAGGAGACCGCGATTGAGCTCTGCTTGAAGGTTGCTTTCGTCGTTCCTCCTCCCGTTCCCGCTCTCGCTCCTCCTCCCATTCCTGCCTCGCCTTGGCCCGCTCTTTCTCCTGTTCTCGCTCCCGCTCTGCCAGCCTCCGTGCGACTTCCGCCTCGACAGCTTTTGCGATCTGGATCAACTCTTCAGTGGACGAAGGATGGAAATGTGAGGCACAACTCACCCTAGCATCGATCTCTGCTTCACTTAATCCTTTGTCCTTCTCCTTCTCCGCGACCGCATCCAGAGGGGCGGGCAGATTCGCACGATTAACTGCACCCAATCCAAGAGCGCTTTGGCGACGATTCTCTCCAACTCCAAATGTAGATGTCCGGGAAACGGGGCGCGGAACAAGCGATTGTCGCCCCACAGGTCGTCCGTGACCCAACGCAGCTTGTGGGTTTGCCTGAGGCTGCATCTGGGCAAGGTCGATATGCGGTGGTCGGATGTCTAGGATATCAGTCAATGGACACGCAAGAAATTTTCAAGGTCAAATACCGCGCTCGTTTACTACAGGTTTATTCTCAATATTCTTCGTGCGAACGGCAAAGCTATTTGAAGAGGCATTAGAACAATATATAAGAAACCAGAGAAGGAACACAAACTTGAGCGTGTTCAGAGTGTCTTGCCTAAACTTTGCCGTCGGTGCGAGATTGCAGATGAGAAGCCCAACCGACGAGCCGCCCAAAGCGTCTTGGAGAAGTCGCGTGAGTTTCGAGTTGCGATAAGGAATGCGAGACTGAAACTCGTTTAGCATAACATTGTCCGAAAAGCTCCGCTTACTTGGCCAGTGTTCAACGCATGTACTACCATCCCCAAAGTAGACAGACTCGTGTTGATCGCTTTACTCTCTGCCATGCGGGCCTGGTCATTACCCGTTTGCTGCTCAAATCAACACAATGAATATTCCAGGTCGGCAAACACACTTTGTTGTTCTCCGACCCAGCCAAATCAACAAGGTTAATCTTGCCTTCCCGCAGCATGTTTCCTTCTCTCGTCTTAAGGTTCAGAGTGAGGACAGCATGCGACCGGGAAGACTGGTCGTTAAGGCGCGTGGCGCCGACAGAACGCTGACGGGTTGCGGTTCTAACAGAGGTTAAGAGGAATCATCGGGAATATGGAGGTGCGCACGAATAGATGGTGTCAAACTCTTCGACGGAGGTGATAGGCATAGAGGTGAGACCAGCAACGAAAACTACGCCAGCTTCGTTTTCACGAACGGGCAGTTTGGGGGCCTTGATGATGATATAAGGTAAGGAAATCACATCAAGAGGTCGCGCACACTTTCACGCGTAACGAGCAGGTCGTAGACATCGTCTTTGTAGATTTCAATGTAGGACACGGCGACTTCGGTTGTGGTGGACTTGTCAAAGAGTGTCTGGTTGACTTTGGGTAAGGCTGAGCAAGGAAACGGGTATGACCACACACTTGTACGACACGAGGGATAACGCCTGGCTCTGAGGAATTGCCTTGCATAGTATAAGTCTTGCCACTTGAAGTAACTCCGTATGCAAAAATTGTAACGGTCTGCGAGAATTTCAGTCAGCGGTAGGGAGAGAAAATGGGGTCGCGCACCACGCCGCTGAGGGCCACATCAACCAGAGGTCGCACGTCGCTGGAAAATATATCTTCTTGTGTCGCGTCGGCATCATAGGCGCTTGTAAACCTGCCACAAAGTCAGTAGTGGATTGGACAACAGAACAATTACGCACGGAAAGCGAAATATTTGGCTTGTGTCGCGAGGATTATTGACAGCAATGCCGGTGAAGGAGGTCATACTGCTGGAGCCACTGGTATTCGAGGAGGTGTCGCTAGAAGTGTTTGTGCCAGATTCCCCATGGCAGACGCGGATTCCATCGTCGGCCGACTCGCCCGGTAGCCGTGGGCGGAGACGAGCAATGACCTTGACAGCTTTCCCGCTCGTTGCCATCCACGCGTTCCACCGACCACGCACAACTGGGGGCTTGGGACCGGCTTGGTGGTTGTTGAATGTGTGACAGTCACGCCATGGCGCGGTGGCGTGACCTCTAGCGACAAGCACACATAAAATATCGATATCAAGTTTGGTTAAGACTAAAAGTACAGGTGGTATTTATCACTTCTCAGTAGCTCACCAGGCGCATTGACCTCCATCGACTTTGATGCTGCAGGACATCAGACTGAATATTCGGATCCAAAAAAGACAAGGCTCACTCGCTTCCCGTACAAAAAGTGGATGCATCGGATGCGAGCCACAACGCCACACCGCGAAGCTCGGTTGGGCGGCCAAAGCGGTTCATTGGGTTTTGTGCGCTGAGTTTCTCCTTGAGGCCTGGGTTTTTGTCCAGGAATGAACGAGTCATGCTAAAATCCATGCATTCACTGAAAGCCATTGGAGCAAAAGACTTACTCGGTAAAGATGTAGCCTGGGCTGACACTGTTCACTCTTATGCCTTTTGGGGCGAGTTCACAGGCCATAGAGCGTGCCATTTGGGTAACGGCGGCTTTACTGGTGTTATAGGCAACCCAGTGTTGGTTCTACAACCACAAGTGGTTAGTGCGCATGATCCAAAAGGTTATTGGCGAGCTCACGGGGTTTGTGATCGTTCCACTCATCGAGGCGATCAGAATGATACTTCCCGGGATTCCCAGTCGCTCCATCTCTCTCCCGGCGGCTTGAGCAGTGAAAAGTACGCCGTTGACATTCACATCCATGAGCTGAGAGAAGCCATCAGTGGCCAAAGTAGTTTCACAACAAGATAAAACCTTTTTGAATTCATCTCCCGGATATTCCAAACACTCTGCTCCATGCAAAACCCCCGCATTTGCGACGCAGGCGTCAATTCTCCCTTCCTTCTTGACTATTTCCTCGACATGGCTCCACATGCCCTTTTGGTCTGTGACGTCGGCGGACCGATATTCCAACCTCCCACCGGTCTCCAGAGCCGCTGCAAATGCTTGGACGGTGCGCCAATCGTCGTCCGGGCTTTCCGGTAGATCGAGACAATACACGACCGCCCCCATCTCCGCCATGCCCAAAGCAAGTTCCAGTCCAATCCCACGCTGGGCCCCAGTGATAACAGCGACTCGTCCAGTAAGGTCAAACATGGCTGCTGCGGTCCGTTTTGGCGCAGCATTAGGGAGGGCGAGGGCCCGCGCAACGCCTTGAAGCTCAGTCTGCGAAGTCATAGTTGGGTCGAGAGTCGAGATTCGGGGAGGAGAATGCTTATATGGATACGGTACGCCTCTCAGGATGTCAGCTCAACCTCACAGCTGACCTGCTTCCTTACCTTCGCTCCAGCGCCGTCATAAATTTAGCAGTTAGCTGGATAAGATTACTTCTGGGAATATTAGGGAACTCCAGGCGAAGTTGGGTGTGGGGGGGGGGGGTCGTTCTGAGTGTGATAAGTAGTCTTCATGACGTATGACCATGTAGTCTATGTTCTCTTCGTCAGGTTGTCCTTCGGCTTGCTTCATTGGTCTGTCTGCCAATGCGTTTGGTGACAAACCGCCAACACTATTTGCTGTTTGAATTGAACTGCTTCCTATTCTTTCCTATTGTTTCACGAATCAACTACCAAACTATGGACTGAGCAGGTAAGCCGCACCATTCAGTCCATTCCTTCCAAATGCTCCGTTTTCTCGTTGGCCTAGGTGGACGTGGCCTGGGTGGGCGACGTGGTGAGAAGGAACGGCGGGAGAAGACCATTTGATGTTTAAAAGTCTTTTTCTTTGGTCGAGTGCCTACTGTGTGCACATTCTTCTTTGTCGTGGGCAGGAGTAGATCTGCTCAATTCTTAGCTCGCTTGCAGACAGAAAAATAGAGCTCTCTTCTCGGGCGAATGACTAGCACAGCCGTGATTCAAAAATGTTTAGGTGGGAAACGTTAGTGGGAATATATAAAATTTTGCAATTAATTTTTTATTGTGTAAAAAACTTTGAGTTTTTCTGCCCAAAAATGTTGACTTGGCTGGGGCAACAGGATTTTTAGGACCAAAATATTTAATGTTTTGCAATGAGTTTTTGGGCCAAGAAAAAACTTTATATATTCCCACTAATGTTTCCCACCTAAACATTTTTGAATCGCGGCTGTGGTACTGTCTCAAGAGGTGGCAGATTCGTCAGATCTGCCAACAGACAACCACACGTGCCTCGACCCCCCCCCCAGATTTGGGAACTGTCATCGGCCGCATCACCGGTAAGTGACAGCCTGAGCGGCGATTCTGTCTTTCTTCCTCGACCGAGTCGCGAACAACAACTTAAACAAGGGCTTGTTGCTGCGCTGCTGAGCCAGCGCCACCGCCGGGCTTCTGTATGACCAGTACCATCACCTCATTCGTCAATCCCCCCTCTCACGGAGTCTCACCCCTCGGTGTGGATAAACACAACGATGAAACCACAAGAGAGAGTCAACGAGCCTCAACCTAAAGTTCCCTGCTTGGTATATTACATATAGTAGACAACTGTACTCTTGCTGTACGCTATCTCCTTTTTACTTATGCAAAGTTGTCGCCGACCGCATCACCGGGCAATGACCAAATTCGGCAACATCTGTCATTGTTGATCAATCTTACGTTTTTAGTCTGTTGGCAGCTCTGACGAATCTGCCACCTCTTGTACTGTCTTCACAACACAAGAGTTTCGCTCAAAAGGAACGTGCGGTCGGATGACTTCCGAGTCCCAATGATCCGGGGCGTCACACGGCGGACAAAACAAAGTCCCTTGGCACAAAGTCGCCACGGGTCCCTTGTCTGTCCCTTGCCACAGCGCTTTGAGGAGGCTGATCTTCATCTATTAAGTCCATAATTTCTTTGTATTCTAAAAGAATCTATACAAAAAAAAAACAAAGTTGCAGCATGATAAAATTTCACCCAATTTACACGTCACTGTCGTCGTCTCCCTCCGCATCAGCCCAGGAGAACTCAGCCTCATCGTCTTCATCATCTGCATCATCGGAAAGAAACTCCACGATACTGCCAGCCTCAGACTGGTTTTCATCGTCCCCACCATCCCCGTCCTCTGTATCCTCGCTGCCCACACTCTCGCCTTCATCATCGCTTGTTGCGGCCGGGGTTGGAGCCGGACGTGAGGTATTCGAAGTTGAAGCCGTTGGAGATGCAGAAGAGGTAGTGGGAACCTCAACAAGATCGTATAATGGGAATACAGTTGGACCATATTTGCGAGTTAGTTGCTCGATGGTCATGGATCCAGTGTCACTTCGTTTAGAGATGTCCGTTGAGCCAGGCTGAAAAACAATGATTTGTTGGGGTGCAATTTTTGGCACGAATGCCCGGCGGGAGTTGATTGAACTCCGCAGGATCATAGTATTGAATGGGCATATGTTGAGGAATCTAGATGGTTTGTAAGAAGGAAACAAACACGACAAGAACCAATACTAACTGTTGCATACCGAGAGAGACCTCGTTTTGAAAATTCAGGGACAGTTCGACGGCTCAATTTGTTGGCGGCCCGAGTCTGGTTGGTCATTGATAAGGTCTTGATAATGAGTCTATCGACCATCTGAATGATGTTGTCAGCATCCATGGACCGCTCCGGACGGCGAAGGGCACGAGAGCCTGTCGGTGTTGACTCGTCATCTGACGTTGCCTTGGGTTTGAAGAGTAGTTGGATGCCTTCTGGGACACACGAGTCCGGAGAGCTCACATACGCGACTCGTCGTTCGGAGCGCTATAAAAACTTCATGATTGGAACAAGAAATAGTGAAAATAGACATACCCGCTGACGAGCATGGGACGCAGCATTCCGATCTGCCTCGACATTATTTGCCCCAGGGTTCCGGATTTCCTTGGCCCACTTCTCGCATATAATGGAAGATGAAATGGTTGAAGAGATTGTTCATGAATTCGATAGAGTCGATGGGCGAGATGTCTGTCATGCACAGAAAGTCGTATGCGGCGCTAGCAACCATCAGTCGGAAAGTATCGACAGCAGCGATGCGCATAGTTGAGTTATAAAGGGAGTCGGAAGGCTGCTCGAAGTCGGGAGCCCATTGGATGATTCCGAAGCGTGCCAAGTTACCACGGATTGCAAGCTTGGGTGTGTCGCCAAGTTGGGAAAACTTTTTGACGATTTGGCTCTGAGAGCGAGCCGCAGTGGAAGGGAGAATTCCAAGCTGGAACAATTAGTGACAAGCGACAGGCAAAAACATGACACGCACCCTCACATCAGCAACTTCAACGAAGTTTTTGGCACCGTGCATACCGATCCGTGACATCTCCTTCACAGAGTATCCTTTAAACCGACGATTGAATGCATCGATTATCTCTTGCGATGCAGTGGTCGGAACAGAGTTCGACTCCAGATTGCCCCAGAGGAACCGAATATGAAGATAAAACCCTTTCTGCTCAGCTGTAAGTCAATGGATGTAAGCCGAATGATATTACCTTGAAGGGATCCGTTTCCTTGTCCAATTCCTTCTTCAAAATTTGATGCTCTGCCGGCTTTCGAGCTCGCTTCGCCTTAGATGCAGGTTTCCCAGTCGGCGCAGTTGGTGTATTGCCAGTCGTGGACTTGGAGGCAAAAGGAGGGGACGTGCCTGTTGTCGAGTCCGTGGATTGAGGTGGAGCAGTGGTGGGCGATGCCTTTGATGATGGCTTGGTTGTCTTCGGTGAGCTCGGGGGTGGCGTCGTTTTGACTTCTTCTTCGACTTCTTGTGGTTACCGGATGCGGCGGGCGTAGTGTCGTTCGCAGCTGGCTGTCTGCAGAACCTATTAGTTGAGAATAGCTGAAAAATAGAGGATGCGTACTGGGAAGCTTGTCGGAAGGCTGCCTGTGCCTGTACATACGCTGCATCGCGTTGCGCCTGCATTGCTATGTACTCCCCGTTCATTTGCTGATAGCGTTGCTGGTACTGTTGCTCGTAACGGGTCTCCGCTTGCTGGGAGTGATGATCGAACATCGCCTGCTGCTGCTGATACTGGCGGTCGAGTTCATTTTGGTGAGCTAGTTGCATGTTCGCCATCCAAGCTGCGAGATCGGGGTTGTTGTTCATCACATCAGCAACACTTGGCGGAATTTCGATGTGGCCACTGTTGTAGAGTGGCTGAGACGTGTCGTAGTTGAATGAGTTGTTTTGCTGGTAACCATAGCCGTTGGCGTAAGTGTCGTAGGCGGTGTACTGGGACGAATAGCCTTGATTTTCGAAAGGTTGTCCCGCATAGTATGTGTTGGTCGACTGTGGATATGGATGGGATGGATTGGCCGCGGAGGAGGACTGGTTAGGGTCGGGAGCGTTCGCCCATTGCGACTGTGCAACACCTTCGTTGTTGTTGTAGTGGTAGGCCATGAAAGAGAAGAAGTGGCTGACATGTGTGTCAGCTGGGTATAAGAGCTCAGAAGACAAAGAAACATACCATAAAGGTTCCGAGGAAGCTCAAAGGGAGCGCTGGTGCGGCTACATGGCCGTCAGAGAATGAGTAACAGGAGTCACACAGTAGATCAGATTTCAATCGACACGGCAGCCGGGCCATCTCCGCAACGTTCAATGCAAAAATAAGACCCCGCGGGCAGCCCCGCACCACTTGTGCTTGAACTCATCCTCGGCGTCAACAACATTCCAACTTCCTGTGATTGCTCGTCCCCTCTAGTAACCCCTTTTTCACAAACTCCACCCTCTCGGCCCGGGACCGCGCATATGGCACAGCGGTGCTCGTTCTTGCTCGCTTGGCGCCAACTTGAACGCGAAGCAGGCCGGCCAGTACTGGTGGCGCCTACTCTTAGCGGACCAGCATCTCGGGGAGTTGGACCATGGCGTCGGCGTGCCAACTGCAGGACAGACAAGAACGCCATTTCGCACAGGAACTACAGCCGTAAGCCACCGCGCGGGGTATCCCTGCAGTCAAGGCCGCCAGCGGAGCGGTCCCTCTGGGGCTTCCGGCGCGGTTGTGTTTCGCCACCGACGCGAAGCGCAGGCGCAGGTGCAGGCGCAGGCGCAAACCGAGGACCATGGCCTCCGAGCCGTTGCCCGTTGTTGCTCAGCCAAATCCCTATTGGGTCGCGCTCAGGAACCTGACCACGTCCACGAGCACGCCAACCATCGTGAGGATCAGCGGGCCTCGTGGACGGCAGTGCTCTCCTTCGAGTTCCCGGCCGGGCGACACCCCCACGAGCACCACAGTCCTCAGCGTCGACAACGCCAGGCACACGACGTACGCCGTCGCAAAGCTTCGCCCTCGCGGCCCGGTTCCGGCGCAGCATCGTCTAAACCTCGCCTGCTCGCCGTCTCGCGCCGCGTTCCTCTGCATGCAGCGCCGCCCGGCTCTCTGCTCAGCCACCGCCGAGTCCCCGCTGTCACGGCGTTAACGGACACGCCGGATCGGAGCTGACAACGAGCATTTGTGCGCACCACGAAACTCAGCGCTGGGGAGCAACAGGCAGCGGCGCAGGTCAGCCTTGCGGATCGAGGACTCGATGCTGCTCAGGAAGACGGGCGGGACTGTTTCTCCTCTCCTTCAGCTTCCGGCGACCCCGCAAGCACCAGAATCCTGGGCGTCGACAACGCCCGGCCCCATTCGGGCGCAGACTGTGGCCCGGCCACGCTCATCTGCCGCGTTGGTTGTCCACAGTCTGCCGCGACTACGGCGCGGTGATT